ATTACTACAACATAAAACTAAACTACAAATAAAATGTAAATGGAAAATAGAAAAATAAAACAAATTCAAAATACTAATGAAAACTATTATAGTATCTGAGTGATACTACAATAAAACTGGCCTAAACTGGAGTTCAACCTCCACTGAGGGACCCAGCCTCCCTGAATGGATCAGGTATCGTCAATGTTTTTGGGAATTTTTCAAATTCCACCTCTTACTGTATATTTCTCCAGTTGCTCCACACATGTTTTTCCATATGCCGAGAGCGGTGACAGTTGACATATTTATGTTCCTCAGCGGATGAGTGTGATGATATCAGCCTGGATGGAAGGTTTGACTCGGCTGCGGAATTCCTGAAATTCAAATGGATAAGAGATGAAAGACCGCATCCCGCCCAATAACTGATTTATGAGCTCCACGGCACAGTCCAGGGCTTCAGACTGTGCGTGCGTCCCTCTGCTCGCATGATGATAAAGCTGGGATGAGTTTTCTCCAGCAGGGTTTAGAGTTCCAAGGTCAAAGGTGGGACGGCAAACAGTCAGCCGTAGCGCTCATATGTCTCCTTTTCATCAGCAAACCCTCTTACCGGGCTTCAAAGTCATTCTTGTGTGAAGCCAAAGAGTGTGTCCTGTCTTCCTGTGTCTGTGCGTGCTAGATAATTGAACTATATGAAGTCTAGTACAATCTGGCATGCTAAACTGATAGTTCTGGCTATAAAATCTCATTAATGCACCAAAAAGTTGGTTGAAAATTCTTCGGGATTTATTAAGAAATTGAGTGATTTATTGAACATTTAATTTATTTTGTTTTGTTTTGTTTTACCTAGCAATTGCCCATAACTCTGGCAAATTCACTATAATAGGACTTGATTCTTTTTTTTATTAGGCCTTTTGTTACAGATAGAGTCAAACCGGCTGAAGTTGGTGTACACACTAAAGCTGACAGGAAATGGCCCTTTGCGTTTTGAGGAAACACACGGTGACTCTCCTGACACTCATTGTTCTGGTTGCAATGGCATTTGTTCTCTTGATGTTTGAAGTCACACCTCTCACACACACACTCACATTTCAGGAATTAAAAGCCCAAAATGTTTTCCCTTATCTGTGTTTTGTGTATTTATTATGCTCAGAAATGAGCCTTTGTTTCCTTTTGTTTCCCTCCAATACAAGGCTCATTGGTGGCTTTTAGACATTAAGGCACTTGTTCTCTAAGGGGCCGTTTACACAACAAGGTTTTCAGCCAAAAAACGGGAAACTTTTTATGCGTTTTGCCTGTTTGCCTGCACACACGACAACAGCGTTTTGGGGACTGAAAACGCATATTTTTGAAAACGGGTTTCAAAGTGCAAGTTTTTGAAAACGCCACCGTTGTCGTTTCCGTGTAAACACCCAATACGGGAATCTTTGAAAACGGTGACGTAATGCACGTGCGTAGTACGTGTTAGGTATGTAGCTATGCACAGTATGTGTCGATTTTAAAGGCAAGCGCGAACAAACATACACAACAATGGCGGAGTACATGGTACTGTTGTTGCTGTTTAAGAGTTTGCTACCGCTTCTTCAGCAAAGTGTGGATTTACTTCACCAATATTACAACCAACAGCGGAGACGCATCATATACACACGACAACAGGTACTGTTTACTAACAAGGTGACAGCGCCAACTGGCATACGTAATACGATATGTGTAAACGCATATAACATTTTGAAAACATTGTCGTGTATATGTGAAACTTTAAAAACGCAAGGGAAAAACGTTTCCGTTTTTGACTACATCATTGTCGTGTAAACGTAGCCTAAAGCAGCTATTGAAGCAACACAGATTGGGAAAAGTGCTATAAAAATAACAATGCAAAATCTTGAATTTACCCCTTTTTCCTTATTGAAGGTTCTTGGTCTTATTTATCAGTGCATATTATTCTAAAACAAATATATCTAAATATATAGATTGAATAATTGGAACATTTAAGGAAGGAAAGGTTAAGGAAATTAATTGGTCAAAAGGTGCAAAAAACCCAAATTCTGCTAAATATTCTGTTTCACTCAGAAGTGCATCATATTATAGGAATTAGATACATTGCTACTGCTGTTTTATGCTGTTGTTTTTTTTTAATCTCTTTTTCATTATGTTTTAGGTACATTGGCTTGTATGGCTTCATTATAATGTAATTATAATTAACTACATTTTAAAATGTTCTGAAGAAAATTTGACACTGTGTCATCTTACTGGCAAAATTGTCCGATCGCTTGGAAAAGTAAAAAACATATTTTTGCTGACAATTTTAATACTTATGATTAGGGGTTCAATATTATTTCTAGCGCTGCTAAATATATTGAAAGCGGTCTGCGTTGTTTGTCAGTGTTTTCATAGTTGCCTCATCATGACCCTGAGGGTCCAGATATCTCGTATGTGTGGCACGCAAGCAGGTGTGTGGTCGTGTGTGTCCGGAAACAGCACTGTATAGTGTGAATGAGTTGTGTATCTGTGGTGTGCTATTACAGCTCATCAAGATGAGTATAAAACGCTCTTGATGCTCATATTGCTGTGGTATGGTTTCAAAGTGCAAGTTTTTGAAAACGCCACCGTTGTCGTTTCCGTGTAAACACCCAATACGGGAATCTTTGAAAACGGTGACGTAATGCACGTGCGTAGTACGTGTTAGGTATGTAGCTATGCACAGTATGTGTCGATTTTAAAGGCAAGCGCGAACAAACATACACAACAATGGCGGAGTACATGGTACTGTTGTTGCTGTTTAAGAGTTTGCTACCGCTTCTTCAGCAAAGTGTGGATTTACTTCACCAATATTACAACCAACAGCGGAGACGCATCATATACACACGACAACAGGTACTGTTTACTAACAAGGTGACAGCGCCAACTGGCATACGTAATACGATATGTGTAAACGCATATAACATTTTGAAAACATTGTCGTGTATATGTGAAACTTTAAAAACGCAAGGGAAAAACGTTTCCGTTTTTGACTACATCATTGTCGTGTAAACGTAGCCTAAAGCAGCTATTGAAGCAACACAGATTGGGAAAAGTGCTATAAAAATAACAATGCAAAATCTTGAATTTACCCCTTTTTCCTTATTGAAGGTTCTTGGTCTTATTTATCAGTGCATATTATTCTAAAACAAATATATCTAAATATATAGATTGAATAATTGGAACATTTAAGGAAGGAAAGGTTAAGGAAATTAATTGGTCAAAAGGTGCAAAAAACCCAAATTCTGCTAAATATTCTGTTTCACTCAGAAGTGCATCATATTATAGGAATTAGATACATTGCTACTGCTGTTTTATGCTGTTGTTTTTTTTTAATCTCTTTTTCATTATGTTTTAGGTACATTGGCTTGTATGGCTTCATTATAATGTAATTATAATTAACTACATTTTAAAATGTTCTGAAGAAAATTTGACACTGTGTCATCTTACTGGCAAAATTGTCCGATCGCTTGGAAAAGTAAAAAAACATATTTTTGCTGACAATTTTAATACTTATGATTAGGGGTTCAATATTATTTCTAGCGCTGCTAAATATATTGAAAGCGGTCTGCGTTGTTTGTCAGTGTTTTCATAGTTGCCTCATCATGACCCTGAGGGTCCAGATATCTCGTATGTGTGGCACGCAAGCAGGTGTGTGGTCGTGTGTGTCCGGAAACAGCACTGTATAGTGTGAATGAGTTGTGTATCTGTGGTGTGCTATTACAGCTCATCAAGATGAGTATAAAACGCTCTTGATGCTCATATTGCTGTGGTATAATCAGACAATATCAGTAAATGCTGATACGCCTGCTCCTCTTATACACACACAAAGGTTTCTTCAAGCATGTCTTCGCTGTTGTCCTAAGGCTGCTGTCCTCTCGTCCCAGATACATCCTGCTCGGCCAGCTCAAATATCAGCCTCTGCTGCAGGTTACGGGTTTAATGTTGCCACACAGAGCTGCTCGTTTTTTTCACACAACAGAGATGGTACAGATGTAGCCTCCTGCTAGATTTAATCGTAAACTGCAGATGGGGTAGAGATGAACTTTTGCGGCAGCCTTATGGTGACTCTGCATGATGTAGTTGCTCTTTAAACGTGCATGTACTTGAAGTAGGGGTGTGCGATATTGACAAAAAAATATATCTCGATATTTACATTTTATGGGCATTTTTACCTTTTTTAAAGCCATTTTTTCTAAAAGTGTCCATTATCTTTTGAGTCAAATTCTTACATTTAATCAGGGAATTAGAATAATAAGACATTTGGGCTGTTACCAAGCAAATTAAATCAACACAGAAGTGGCATTTAGATGTATTTACACACATGTATTTTGTTTACATTTTTTCAACATTTAACCTGCAATTACAAATGCATAAATAATGTTTTGATATATTAAACATAAAACGTTGAATACTGATTTTTGAAATGATTTAAAACATGAAAAAAATCCCCCAAAAAAAAAGGAAAAAAAAGAAAAAGCTGAAATTTGACATTAAAACCGCCAGCAGGTGGCAGCAAATCACTGTTAATAAGTGAGTCATTGCGATTGAACCGAATCATTTAAACGGTCGATTCATTCA